CGTGGTGCATTCCTGCTGTAGACAGACTGATCCAACCTCAATTGGCAAAAATGGCCTGGAAGAGTAAATCACTATGCACAATGAATTGAAGGTATCTGGGTGCTATAAGCATAGCCTAGTATTCACTTCCCACACAGTACCAGGTCCATCAGCATCAGAGGATTCCAAAAAGGAAATACTTTACTGCTTAAGGGTTGGTTTTAGCACATAAAACAAACAGTGGCTATATACAGTACCCATGTATAATGGACATTTATTGATCTTTTGACAGGGAATGTTTCCCATAGTGAAAATACATCCTAGTACTTTATGCATCATATGCACCAGCTACTGGGTCTGGGAAGGGCTTATTCCAGGCACAGGAAATTCTGGAGCATAAACTGTGTGTGCCCACTCTCCGTGGCTGTTATCTAGCTCTGGTTTATGAATTCAACAAATAAAAGGAGACGGGTAAAGCTGGCTGCAGGAAGGCTGGCGTTGCCTCAGTTTCCCTGATTTGTCTTCCATTGGGCCAAGGGGTACCCTGTGAGGCCAAGACAAGGGCCTGTGTGCTGTAAGGTCAATTAGTTATTTTCTATTCAGAATGCAAAGCAAGTAGCAGTGATGAGTGTCTGTGGTGGTAAGCCCCACAGACAGTGGCCTCACCTGGCTACTGCCACTGCTGTGAGGCTTCTGCAGCTTCACACCATGAAGGAGTGAGCATCCCAGTGATTTTCTGTAGCTGTAGGGCTATGGAACAAAGTGTTCTGAGAGAGATGGGTCGCAATATTGCTCCTCCTTCCCCTCACAACAGACACTATCTCTTCCCCTGAAGGAATCTGACCACTCTTAGCAACTGGCATGTCATGGATGGTCAAATCCCCCTTGGTTTTGCCAGAGATCTAAGCACTGAACAAAAGCAGGTGACAGAGACACATCAGGCCCCTCTCTCAAAGCAACAGCTATTCCGCAAGTGCTATATCTTACCGTGTCTGGGCTTTTGGGTAACAACAAAAACAAGCTCGTTATCTGGCGTGTCCAAGTCCTGCAGGCTCAGGGAAGTGTTGCTGATCACCACTCCCAAGCTCTCACGGACTCTCACAGGTTCCAGCACCATCTTTGGGGGCTCATCGTTCTGTCGCTACAAAAACACAAAGACTGACAGTCACACAGGAGAAGAGACACTCGCCAGACAGGCAAAAATTGCCCTGAGGACAAAGTCAAAAGGAAATTGCCCCGACTGGAAATCTGCACACTCAACTGGTATTTCTGTTAAAAGTTTTAATTAGGTGGCACTGGTAAATCAGGGGTGTCAAGCTGGACTGGTCTGCAGGCTGGATTGGGGCTACACACCAGAACCAGTGGGGCACTGCATGCAGTGTGTGCCCCATGCCAGCCCCTGGGACCGCATGCCAGCTTCCAACCCCTGGGGCCAAGTCCAACCCGCCACACTACATGCAGCTCATGCCTGTTCCGCTCTGGGGTTTGTAATCCATTAAGTGTGAAGGCTGCACCAGGCACTGCATGCAGCATAAAAAGTCTGAGATGGAGGTTGCATGTGGCCTCTGCCCTGGACTGGCTTTGGCCACTGGCTCCAGGGCCAATCTGGATCAAATCCCAGACTGTCTTTTGCATGCTGGAACCATTGCACAGGGCCAGTCTGACAGGGCACTGCATGTAGCACACACCCCATGTTGGCTCCCTGTGCCACATGTAGTGCAAGCCCCAGAGCAGGGCTGAGCCAAGCTACATGCAGCATGCAGGGCTGGACTGGCTATGCAGGCTGTACAAGTCAAAGGGAGCCGACATGCAGTGCTTCACCAGACCAGCCCTGCTGGCTGGCTTCGGGATGCATGGACAGCCTGGGGCCTGATCCAGACCAGCCTGGAGCTAGCACTCAAGCGTGGGTCTGACATGGGCACCATGTGCAACACGCATCCTGGACTGACTCCTTGTACTGTGTGCAGTGCCTGTGGTGCCAAGTCCAGCCACGCACCAGATTAGCTCCACACACTTGATATGGAGTATGGGGTTGGTCTGAGACCCATGGGCTGGATCATGGAGATCTGCAGGCTGGATCCAGACCAGAGGCCATAGGTTTGACACACTTGTTATACATAGTCTCTAAAATATTGGCTAATATCCTGCACACTGAGATGGAGGGAACACTTTACCAATCAACACCTCAGCCATGAGACCTGAGAAAGGGGTAGCAATGCCAATTTTTGCCTCAGCAGTGGGGCAGGGACTGGGTTGTTTCTCACAGTTTCAGTCTCATTCCCAGTTTCCATTTGCTCTAGGAGAAACATCCTCTATGCTGGTCATCTGGGTACATTTTGTCCCACAGCTCTTCGAAGCTTAGCTGCACTGGAGGGTGTTTTGCTAGTGTCTCACAAGGCTGCATGCTTCCCACCCACTGCGTCCCCTCATGCATGAGAGGAGGTGAGCTGCATTCCTGGGGTTGGGATGATGAACAAGAGAAAGTAAGGGGCACCTTCTATGCACTTATTCGCCTCTGTGGCCATTCAGAACGGGTCCCAATCTGGCCTAGGGTTAGTGGTAGCACTGTAGAAGCCACCCGCACCACTGCATGGAGAGGGTTTTGTCATTCCTCAGAATCTGTCTACCTGAATGGTGATGTTGATGCTCCATGTCTCAGGCAGGATGGAGCTGCTGCTCACAGAGAAGCGGAAGAGGTCATGTGTTGGCTCAACACTTTCATGGACGCTCTGAAAGTAGTACACATGGTTCTCTAGCACATCTTGAATGGGGAATGATGCACCTGAGTCTGCTGTGCCCCCAGGACCAAAAACAGCACCTGTAAACAAAGCACCCTCTGTGATAGGACAGTTGTTTCATGGATATTTAAATAAAAATTAAGAAAATAATGGAAAGTTATGGCACTCCCAAGGTTTCCTTTCTGTAATTTACTATTAATACATTTAGAGACCCACCCAGAAAGCAGCTTCTGCTGCAGAAAGGAATAGTGTCCTTTTCATTACAGGGTCATCTGGTTCCTGTCCCCTTTTATTACGCCTGTCTAAAGTGATAATTCACCATCTTTCCACAGCACAACCTCCAGCCTCAATCACCCTTGTTGAAACAGTTTGGCTGCCAAGCAAATTGTCCATTAAAAACTGATCAGAGATTAGTCTTTTTGAAACACAAGCTTATGTTTGCTTTTTCACAGGACACAAAGAATAAAGATGCAGGGTACTGCATAACAGTCTGCATGGCCCAGAGGTAGTAAGGGAGCTGCTGTTATAAACCAAACTGTTTGCCAGAACTTACCACATAGTGGTACCCTACAGAGCATAATTTGTTCCCTGTGCTAAGAACATAAAATAACTGTGATAGCTGTGCGGTATCATTTTACAGTGGTGCCTAAGGTGCTTCATGTGCAGTGCTATGTGACAGCCTGACTTGGTGTGGTGGCTACAATTATCCCAGTATCTTTTCTTGGGTCTATACTCTGAGCAACCTCCAGACTATTATGTTAGAAAGAAAAAAACCACACAGAACAAAACACCACAGCACTGGTGAGTGATTTACAGTTCAGCATCTCTAGCCCCTAGGTCTAATCCGGGGACTATCAATCAATTTTAAAATGTCCTGCCACAATTACAGTTTCCATGGTGGAACCAAATCACACAGCCGCTGAAGTTTTATTGATGATACAGAAGCACTGAAAGGAACAGTCCCTAGAAATGAAAGGGTCTGGGCTTTCCCATCGCTCATAAACAGAGTTGTGAACTAAGATGCAATGGGGAAGGGATTCTGACAAGGAAGGCCCTTCTAAGAGTGCTTGCCCTGAGGCCTGGTTGCAAAATCTAAGTGCTGGATACTATCTGTAACCTGCACATGCATTGGGGACTTTATGTAGATATGCTCCTGCCTCATGACCTCAATGACAATATCTCTCATTATCTTCTCCCCATGTCCATGGTAGAGACAGCATAAAAATGTAATGCAGATATGGACCGTATTAATCTCTCTAGAGAGGTTGTTTGTTGCTGGGGAACTGCCCCTCACACAGGGTTTCCAACAGCAGATGCTGTCTGGGGAGTCTTTGGCAGCTCAGTGCAAAGAAATGATACTGGTAGGTTCTGGGAGAAGCCAGGTGGGCAGCACACAACCTGCATGAGAAGGTTACAGTCACTTGATTCCTGAGTTACACACAAATTTAAAGGGACCTGTAACTAGTGAGCAAAACCACTGGGCTCTCTGGTATGGGGTGTGGCAGAAATGCCACCGTCTGTGTCCCTCTCCAGAAATCTGTCTCTGCCAGCGTGAGAGGCTGGTGTTGCATTCCTCAGGGAGGGGGATCTTCCTCCCTGCTACATGACAAAAGCCTGGTGCCTCGGATGTGGATTCTCTGGTCACCTGGGGAGGGGGAGGGAAAAGCCCGGCTCACCGGCCCAGGTGACCTGTGATGCTTTTTAAATTGGTTGGCTAGTGGCCAGCACTGGCAGCTTCGATTGGACCGGGCTGCTGAGGTCAGAAAGGTTATTTAAAGGCCCAGTCCAGGAAGAAGGCAGCCTTTAGCCATGCGGTCATCAAGGTGAATCTGAAACTGGGAGAGGAGCTTCACCATCTGAAACAGGCTCTCTCCTCATAACCGCATGCTCAAAGAGTGACCTGCCTCCAGAGGAAAACTCCAACCACCTCTGGATGAAGCATGTGAGTAAGCTACTCGAGATCAGACTAGATATTTAGCTTACAGTAACTCAGATGCGTGATCAAAAGGCTACCTCAGCCATACTGGTTTGCTCTATGGGGATTCCTCTGAGATTCCTATGATACTGCTCTACCTTTTACCCTGTTTCCACCCTACCCCCTGTAATCAATAAAGTTCTCCTTTGTGACCGGTGTGGGAGACTTATTATGGGGTGGGTCTAAATTATGCCGAGGAGGTCCCTTAGGTCTGTGGACTAAGGGAGACTTTCCTATTAAGCCTCTGACTTGGGAAAGTGCCCCAAGTGCCTGTATTGGGTCTAGCACCCATTGGACGATCGGGCCTGTGTTTTCCAAGGTGCGCAGAGCCAGAATTGAGTCCAGAGTCTTGGATGGTGGCAGCGGGAACCCCAGGCTAGTGGGTGTGCTCCAGGAAAGGGGTCGGCCGGATGTGAGGCACCCCAGGGAGGCACTCGGAGCCTGGAAGGTGGTCGGGCGCAGTGAAGTGGGCGGCTCAAGGCAGGAGCACCCCCTACTGGCCCGCCACACGGGGAACACCTGTTTCTGCCTCTCAGACAGAAGAATTCAGTGGAAACTGTGTCAGGGAGACTCACAGAGCTTCCTGCTCCTATGCTGTTTTTACCACAATAGGGCAAGATCTGGTCTGGAGTAATGACTTAAGAACTGGGGGTACACATTCATGGTGCCACTGAAAAATAGCCAACCTGGGATGCAGGGGAACAGCCGAACAACCAACAGTGTAATGGAAAGGGTTGCTATTGGCAAAATAATATGAGATGAAGTTGTCCTGTTAAGAGCACCTACAGTGCATGAAGGCACAAGTCCTAATGAGGAACACCCATGGATAATGGAAGGGACACCTCATAACTCTGAGGTGATATAATTATATACCAAATTCCTCCAGCTAAGCTCTTCCACAGCTTAGCTAGCTTTTAAACTTCATGCAACACTTATTAGATGGATTCAGGAACGGGTTGCTATGGACAACAAGAACAGCCTGAGTTATGAAAGTAATCGTTAAATATTAAACAACGACTTTGTAAAGGCTCCTGGTCCAGAGCATGAGCCAGACCCTTATTAATAAGGGTAAGGAGGAAAATTTCTCTGGGGGCATGTTCTCTGCCTCTTAAAACCTTTCTCTGAAGTAGCTGCGGCTGATCATGTTAGCTCCTTGATGAAATCCCCAACCCCCCTTCTGTGTTCCTATTTCCTGATCAAAAGAAAGGGAAAATAGATGCATGTACAATTTACCTGTCTTTGTGTTTTCAATGCACCCATATATGGGTAGAGTGATTATTGTAACCACTAGCTCTTCCATGGCTGTATCGTAGTCAGTGGCTAGGAGTTGGTGAATGGACAACGGGACCCTCCCTCCCTCATCAACCTGAAAACCGGGAAAAGGGAAATAAAACACATGTGCTTTAGAAACAAAAGCAAGTTCCACACTCATTGCTGAATTGATCAAACACTCAGGGTAAGGGAGGGGGCAAGAGGGAAGAGATAATTCATGACACTGGCAGCTTAAGCTTAACCTTTTGCCTATTTCTGCATGAGTCCAGTAGCACACAATTGCTATCAGACTCTAATGGAGAAGGTAGAGAAGTAATTCCTGACATTCCCAGTGACACTGCACTTTTCAAAAGTGCCAACCAAACAAAGTTCAAGGTCTGCCCAATCCAAACAGGTCATGATGCTATTGTGGTTAAGGAATGGAAGCTTCTGTAGGCAACAACACACCTGGAGGTAATATGGCCAGAATCACAACCAGCCTCCTTTGACCCTCCCAACTCGTGCAGCTGGGTGCCCACTTACAGCTGGGTTAATTAGGGGCAGTCTTCAGTATGCATCTAGAGTGAGGTCTGTACTCATGCCTCTGAATCAATAGCAAAGGGTTTTCACTGCTCTGCCACACACTCCATCTCATGAACGACACATGCTCCTGGCAGCTGGGGGGCATGGCTGTGCTGGCGGCGGCAGGAGCATGGCAGCGGCGGTAAGTGTGGAGCTCCCACCAACGCCACCGGCACTGTCAGCAGCAGGGGGGCAGGCAGTGCCTTTTTGCAGGGGGTGCATGTGCACCTGTGTGCACCCCCTATACATCGCCCCTGCTCCATCTCCCTACCCCTCGAATATAAGACAAAACAAACAGAAAACTGGGGTAAGGTGAGGGCTTGCCTGCCCCTACCAGCTGCCCCATGCTGTTGAGCTAGCATCAATGTAACAGTGAAATGAGCAGCAGAGAGTATTCTGGCAGGTCACAGTGACCTGGTAGGAGGAGTGACAAGCTACATCTTTGTTGAGTGAGAAGTTTTTGATAGTGGAAAAAAGGGAGTGGGAAGTTGGTAAGGGAGGTAGGCTACATCAAACAGTTTAGATAAGCGTTTTGGAATGCTGCATGTTGATCCAAACCTCCAGATGTTTTCATATTCATCCAGCACTAGCCCTAGTGAAAAAGCAGGACAACTCCTCAACTTTGATGAGTCAGCCTAGCTCTGTTGGCACCAGTGGAGCTATACTGATCTACTTCAGCTGACAAGCTGGGACCACTGGTTATAATGTAAATGAAGACAGGGGGTTCACGGACAGGAGAGCATCGTCAATTTCCTCTGGTCATCAAAAAATGTACTAATGCTTTGCATGTGGAAGACACATCTATACTACTAGATGGTAATTCACCAAGATGTACTGAATATAGGAAACTTACTGTTCAGTGGTTTAGATCAAGCAAGTTCTCATTGCCATTTTAAGCACTGGAACCTATTACTTACAGTAATATGATCAGCAAAAGCAATGACCGATGGTCTGTTATGAACAGGTGTGATGGTGATGGTAAACATCTGGCTGTCAAGCTGATTGTTGTCAGCATCGAAGACAGAAAAGTGGAAAATATCAGTGACTGGCTGATCACTGGTCTCAAATGCAGTTGTGTATCTGTGAATGTCAAAAATAGAATCGAGTCACCTATTATATTTAAACACTAGGTTGGAACATCCCTCTTTTCAGTGAGGCATTGTTTCAGGGGTTTTTTGTTTTTGTTTTTTTAACTCTCCCACTTACTGTATTCAGAATGAGCTCTTTCTCTTCCCATTTCATTGTGTAAATAGTACTGAACAGGAAAAGGCTGGCCTGAGAGCAATGGTTGGAAGAAACATCCATAAATTTTGTCACATCACACATCTTAATGCTGATGGGCAATCATGTTCTGATTCCCCAGCTCTTGGGGAATTGAGAAGCAGTGTATGAATGGTGTAACAGGTATCCGCTCTGGGCCGAGCTAAAATGTGGCCCGCACACCTGTTCCTGGGGCAACCGCCCGCCTTCTCGCCTGCCATGCCTTGCTGTTAATTAATTAATTGATGTTAATTAGCGGGAGGCTGCCCTTGTACTGCCCCGCTGCCAGGGGGCGCTATCTGCGGCTCCGTTTCCTCCCCTACACCGCAGTCCACACCTCGCCAATGGAATAGCCATTATGTCTCAGCCTTATCACAATCTGGCCCCTCTTTGTCCTCTCTGGGCCTTCCTTCCTTTGACCAACAATGCTGCCCCCTCTCTGGGGCCTCCGCATCCACACTGGGACTTCTCAGCCACTGTCCCTTCTCTGGGGTCTTTCAGCAATGCTGCCCCCTCTTCGGGGTTCACCGTGCCTGCACTGGGCTTCTCACTAATACTGCCCCCTCTCCGGGGCTCACCGTGCCCACGCTGGGCTTCTCAGTAACACTGCCCCTCTCCGGGGCCTTCTCCTTAACATTGCCCCCGCTCTGGGGCCTTCTCCGTAACACTGCCCCCGCTCTGGGGCTGGGGGTTTATACACCCCGAATGCTGCACCCTCACTGGCGCTGGGGTCCTCACCCTCCGCTGTGAGTCCCCTATGAGGCCTCCTCCAACCCCTAATAGCCTCACCCAAACCAC